AGAGAGAGAGAGAGAGAGAGAGAGAGGTCGAAGTCGTTGCATTTACGAGTGGAATATCGCGCGACGATTTTATTGACGTTTGGACGCTGTAATCGCCGTTTCTTCCATAATTAATGCGCCACGCATCTCGTCCGCTCTTCACTTTAAACAAAGGCGCTCCTTAAGTGTCGGTTAACCTTGCGCGAGGTGTTAACGATGCCGCTGAGCGTACTGTTATGATTCCTTTTGAGCGTCATTTACGATCGCCTTATTCGTACAAAATTGAAATTTCTTAGAGTGTTATAAAGTAGAAAAACGTAGATTTACCGTGATGAGCGAATACACAGTGATGTGCAGATTAGTTTCTTAGCACAAAAAAATGAAATTTTGAATTCTTTATTTGATCAGATAGTTTGATTGCTTTGTATTATTGTAGATGTTTTAAAGTATTGTATAATATATTACGAAACATCGATCTGTAAATAACTAAGTGTATCCAATTCTCATTCTTATTGTTTTAGTCTTTAAATACGCGGATATTTAACTTTCAATAAGGAATGTGTATACAGGTTTCGCCAACGAAAACTTCCCTCTCTGATTTTTCTGTAATCAATTGATTTTTATTAAAAATGCTGACACACATCAATATTGTTTTCAAGGGAACTGTATGATTGTGATAAGTTTAACTATATCACTTCATCCCTTTAATTAGAGTAATAACTTCTCAAAAGATCTTAAATAGCAGTAGGAATTAAATAATACATCATTTCAAAGGTTTTAATTTTCTTTACAACGGTATTTATTTTTTTAAATTAGAATGTATATTTAAAAAAATCGCATTTAGAAATTTTTGCTGCAAAAAATTGAAAATTCTCAATTGAAATTTATTTTATTAAATCTCCACAGTGATGTTCATTAACCTCTAGACAATTATAAAGTTTTTGCTCAAAATTCCTACGAACATTTTTAAACATTTCTGGTGTTATTCTATGACACTGAAATCGAGGTGGAATGTCTTCGATGGCGGATATATCCTGTATATCCAAAATATGTATGTATATATATATATATATATATATATATATATATATATATTTATTTATTTATTTATTTATTTAAAAGCTCAAATATTAAGAATATCACAAGATTAGGTACATGTTTGGTAGGGAAAAAGATTAGCTGGAATCAAATTTCTAGTAAAATAAAAACGAATCAGTTCTAATTGAAGTTATCAGAACTCTATTCATTTTAATAAAATTTCTAGTTAACTTGACTCTGGTAATTACAACTGGAAACTTTCCTGATTTCTTCATATTTCGCTAGAAATCTAGTTAATCCAACTAAACGTTTTTGCCATGTACATTGTAAGAAAACTTTGTGCCTATCAAAGAATTAATATTGTAAATATATAATTAATATTATAAAAGAGTAAAATCCGTATGTGTGCGGTTTACAATATTGTGATTTTTTATGCAAAGGAAAACCTCAATGGAAATTACTTGCAAGAACTCTCATTAAGTTTCATGATACACTTGTTTATTTAGTTGTATATCCGAATTATTAATATTTAATTTTACAACAATTTCGACAATTTTTACAAAACAAAACGGATGATAAAACATAGTGTCAGTAAATATTCTTGATAGAGTTAGTGTTAATAAATATTCTTGATAATTTCGTGTTGGCAAGCAGAACTGGGCCACTGTATATCGGTCGGTATGAGAAAGGAATTTCAAGAGTTAAAAAGTCTGAATGTTGTTACGATTACGCAAGAGCACACATGCGCTACGTAATCGCGCGTCAGTGTCTTCTCCTTACTTCTTTTTTCCTCTCTTCTTTTATTTTCATCAATCTCTCGACGTCTCTCGCATGGATGCACTTGGCCTGCATTCGTTTGATGGAGTGGTGGCAGTTTAATTATTCGCGCGCAGATTTTCCACACGCGCGCCGGTTCTTGAAATAAAACTGGTCGGCGCGGCACTCGACTCTGTTTCAAGAATTCAACAATAATCACCGGTCGCGTTGCATCAGAATGCCGAAAGCGCTCCGGTGATTTTCCTTACGCAAGCGCACGATAACCGCGACGACGCTCGCGAGTCCGCCGCGTTAAAGTGCGCGCGATCCTAGCGATATATTAATGCGTCCTCGATCGCTCTTCTTCTCTCCCCCCTCCTCTACTCTGCCGTTGCACATCCGGCGATGGAAACGCGTCGTCCGGTAATTACGCGGTATGAACTCCTTACGGAAACCAGGTCGTATCGCCTAACCACCATCGAGAGCCGAGCGACGCTTCTTTCTTGCCTAAAGGCGCGATATCGCTCTTGATTTACTCAAGCGGAAGAGAATTGCCGCGTTTCGACGTGGCGGATCGAGCGAATGCATCTCGCGCTTGACGTTTTTCTCGCAGGATGTGTTCGTGCGGGGTCGAGCGATGTTTACCAGATACGGAGGTCAGTCGGGGAACGTCTCCGACGGAATTCAGCCTCATCATCTTCTCCCTTCGATTCCGCTAAAAACGAGATGTGCGAAGTCAAGCGGAAACTAATAATTGGCTAATAACTGGTTGTTGTACACGGAAAGAAAATCGGTCCAGTTAATCAGAATTCAAGATACACGTCAATCCCAGACTGTCGGGTGAACTATGAGCGAACCTATATTATTGGTTAAGTAACCAGACAGATTTGGTCACGCGCCTTTTGATCAAAGTGACCAGACAAGTTTGGTTACTGACAAAACTTGTCTGTTTATTTAAATCACAATAACAGAATTATATTCACATTTCTTGCTAGAGAAATTTTATCATTTTCTTGACTGAAAGTTGTTTCTTAAATTATTAGTGTGTCATTATTTTGCCTGAAACTGAGTTAGTACTTGAGTTTGTATCTGAAGAACTCGCTGGGAACTTTATTCTGATGGGATTCGAACTCGGGAAACCACCGGATTGCGAGTCGTCTACGCGTTACGCCACTTCTCGAATTGGTACATCTTTCTATATTGTCTACCTGTGTCGTAATCAGTGTTAAATATCAGAATATGTAATTATAATGATCTGAAATCCAGTTTAGTTCAATCGACAGTCGTTCAATCGAACATGTCATGTTTATCCTACGCTTTGTAAACATAAAAAAATGCATATTCCTTAAATGGAGTAAATGTGTTACTTAAGTTCAAGTATTTTTCATAATTTTTATCAAAGTGTTTCAAGTTGAAATATCCGCAAATCTATCATAAGTTCATCATGAGCGAATCAAACTTGTCCAAGGTACATTATGAATCCTCTAGAAAGTTCAGCGTTTCAATCAAGAATATTCACTTAAAATAAATATTCTGTTTGTTTACTACATAGTCGAACCAATTTGTTTTTGGATAAAATTTTATGAGATTCTTGTAAAGAGAATAAATTTTTCTTTTAAGCACACGATAATGAGCTTTTTCAAAATTAGCGATAAGTATTTTGAGGATTATTATTAAGAACATTTCGCTGAAGATAAGCTTTTTATTTCAAAGAAAGAAAGAAAACTGAGTAATTGCTTCTCTTAGTAGAGTGATCTTTATTGTGATATTTTTTTCTGTGTAGTCGTCATAAGCGAATACTTGGATGTTATAACTGGATTAGCAGTAACCAAACTCTGGGTCTAATCGTTGTTCTGATTGACCACCAGAATATTTTATTATAATAACCAGACAATTCTATCTAGTTCAACCAATTGTGGATATTTTTTCCGTGTGTGTGTACACGTGTATAACGCGTTGCTGATCGACATGCCGTGTTTATTATTCAGTTATTATTAATATTATCAGTATTATCAGTCATTCATGTGTAATGTACTTTTTCTGTGCAGTGTCGCCCATCTAAAGGAGGCGATCGAGAGGGAATGCGGGGTGGTGGCGGCGCATCAGGTGCTGCTGATGAGCGGAGGCGAAAGCCTGGAACCAAACGCGCGTGTGTGCTCCTACTCGGCTGGGACCGACACGAATCCGATTTATCTGTTCAGCAAGAGCGCCATTGAGAGCCCCCTGCCGCCCACTCCGAGTATAGATTACGGTTCTGGTGAGTAGATATTTCCTTTTCACCCGTAACTTTTATCGCGTTTCGCGCGATTTCGTGCGCGAGCGTTCGCTCCGAACGTTCGCGTGATTCGTTCGCGTTTAAATTCGCGATTCGACGTGGAAAGGCCGACGGTCTATAGTCATAGATGACGGAAAACCATTCAATAACAATGACGAGAATCGTCGATGAAACGCCTGTTTCCCTCGTTCCTCGCAATCCAAACATTCCCCGTTTCCAGGAACGCGTTGGTTTCTGATAGCGGTGGATTTGGTTGTCTGCACGTTACTATAAGGAAGTCGATGAGAAAAGTGTCGTTAATAATGAAACAACCGATCGCGTTCTAAAAGGGATGCCACAAAAAACAACTGGATCGATAAAATCAGCGGTCATCCGCCTTCAAAGAAATGATGTGTGTATTGAACAAATTACGCGTTTGTGCAACAATAAGTTGCTTTGACATAATTACTGATCAAATCATAATCATTGAACCAATTGATATATATAAAACTCATCGCAGCAACGATATAATTCGTTCAATCGATTAAACATTTGCTTGAATGAATTTTGTTCGTTTAAATAAAGTCTCATTAACTTACCACTTTTTTCTTGGTGCGAACTTGAAAACATTACCGAAATATTGTCCTTATTCTGCACAATTACGTTTTATTTATTTCACAGTATTACAAGTGTTTTTACACAATGAATATGCGTGCGAAAATTAATTGGAGCATTGTTCAGTATATAACAAAAACGATAAAAAATTTTAAAGTTGATATCTCAAGCGTCAGCGTAAATATTTGCCTGATATAAGAGTCCTGCAGCTTGTACAAATCGCACGTCTGTTTGCTCCGCTCAGAAAAATTTTAAGAAAATATTGCTATGCAACTAAATTTAGAAGCTCAAAAATATACTAAAAATTTGTAGAAAGATTTCTATACAGTGTGTCTAACGCAGTGTTCCTTACCTCGTGTAGATTTCTAACTGAAGTCAAACCAAACACAAAATTCCTCTAATATTTTGCAAACAGTTACGTAAAATTTGGAGTTTTTAAAGTTTGATACGGCAGATGAATTGTGATAATGACGCTTGTCGTTGTGTGCTTGTAGATTGGGTTTGTAAAAAAGTTCTGTACCATTTCGCAAATAACCACGTAGATTTCTAGCTATTAATTAGACAACACATTCGTGTGCAATATCGCGTACTCATTCGCCAATTTTCTTTAACTAATAACTCAAAAATCTACATGATTGTAAAATAATGGCGGAATTTTGTGTTCAGTTTGACCTAATCTACATGTACACGAGGTATGGCATACTTTGCATGAGACATCCTATGTTTTCCGCTAAATATGGTAAAACGAGGCAGCACACGTTTATGAGATCTATACAGGATGTTTCTAAATAAGTGTGAAAAACTTTACCATTTGAGAAAAAAATGAAAACTCAATTTTTATCTCCTCCTTTGGAAGAATATAAATTCTTTCTTCTCAGGGAGGGATATAGAAGAATATATGTTTATACAAAAGACCCTCCTTAATTTTCGACGAAGAATTATCTGCTAAAGTTTTTTGCGTTTACTTAGAATCACCCTGTATAGACAAGAAACACGAAGAGAGGGTAGGGTGATAGTGTTCAACGCTTATCTAACATGTAGTTTCGACGATCACACCTCTACGTTATCGACGTTTTGGGAGTTTGGCATCCCCACTTTGGCGTCCCCTTGACGACATCGTCCGTTAGAAAATTAATGAATATACAGATATCGTTGCAGCACACGTGCAGCGGTATCTAAAGCAGCGTTTGTCTTACAGTGAACCGGTTCTTCTCACGACGCGGGTGAATTCGAGATGCCCGATAGCGAAGTGTCGAAGCGTTCGATTCTCACGACTTAATCCTGACATCACCCGTAAACGCGATCAATTTCAATTGAGGTCAAACTTAGACGCGGAGGATTCCGTGAGCTGCGTCTTGTTGACGTCGTAGAACTTGTAAACGGAAAGCTGTTGTCCAAAGGATACAGGAGCTGATGCAACGATCCTTATCAGCAACAATTCTCAGAACTCTCAGAAGCACCAAAAGAGAAGAGAGGAGTTTATCTGTGTGTATGTGTGTGTGTGTGTGTGTGTGTGTGTGTGTGTGTGTGTGTGTGTGTGTGTGTGTGTGTGTGTGTGTGTGTGTGTGTGTGTGTGTGTGTGTGTGTGTGTGTGTGTGTGTGTGTGTGTGTGTGTGTGTGTGTGTGTGTGTGTGTGTGTGTGTGTGTGTGTGTGTGTGTGTGTGTGTGTGTGTGTGTGTGTGTGTGTGTGTGTGTGTGTGTGTGTGTGTGTG